TGCTGCTGCTGCTGCTGCTGCCGCTACCGCTAATGCTGCTGCTGCTGCTGCTGCTAGAACACGTGTTAGGCTAGATCATCGTGAAGCAGCACATACACCTGAAGTTGTGCTGCTGCTGTTTTGTTTTTTATTTTGGTTTGCTGCATCCAGCTTGGGGTGTACAGACAGCAAAGCAGGTTAGTTTGGGGGCCCTTTGCTGCTGCTGCTGCTGCTGCTGCTGCTGCTTGCGGGCCCCGCAGCAGCGTGGGTTTTGCTGCTTTTGAGAAGAACTGATGAATTCGCAAGGAGACTAGAAGAGGGGGGAAATGACAAAGGCGCAGACAAGCCAGCAGCAGCAGCAGCAACAGCAGCAGCTGCTGCTGCTGCTGCTGCTTCTGCTGCTGCTGCCTCTACTGGGGGGGCGGGGCTGGGCGTCGGCTGCCGATTGGGTGGGGAGGCGAAAAGGGCCAGAGTTGAATTAGAAGGAGAAAAATAAAAAAAGAAATAAAAGAAATAAAGAAAAAAATAAATTGAATAAATTAAAAAGCATTTAAATAAAAAGAAGAAAAGATGTGAAAGCAGCAGCAGCAGCAGCAACAGAAGCAGCTGCTGCTGCTGCGGCTGCCAATCGGCACTGGCAAGGGACCTCGGAGCGGGAGAAAGAAGGGAATTCAAATTGGAAATAAAAGAGAAAAGTGAATTTAAAAGAATAAATTTAATTAAATTCAAAAATTAAAAAAAGAAAAGAAATAAAAGACAATTCATTTTATTCAACTTCACCTTCGCGGGAAAGCTGCAACGGCTGTCTCGATTCCCGGGGCGTCTGTTGCTCTCGGGCGAACAAATTAAAAGATCTTCTTTTAGTTTTGTTTTATTTATTGAATTAATTTCATTTCTTTTTTATTTTTCAAATTTAATTAAATGAAAAGAACCTTTCCGCAGATCGGCTCGGGAGCCGCGAGTGCAAGCCGCAGCTGTCTGTACACTCCGCGCGGCCGTCACCGCCGCGCCGGCGGTGCGCACGAACGGCATTTAAGACTTTTATTAACTCAAAAGTATTTAAATGAATTAAAACTGAATTATTATTTCGAAAAATAAAATCAATTTCGCCCAAATTCAACTTCAGAAAGCGACTCCTGGGGAAACGCGGGCCAGCATGGGACACGTCCGAGGCGAAAGACACAAACTCAAGCTCCCGAAAGATATAACTGTTCATTTATTAATCAAAAATAAAATAAATAAATTTAGTAAAATAAATAAATTTGAATTAATGAAAGTTCCAACTCGAGCGCCTGCGGCCTCCCCGCCACTAGCTGGGGTGTACGTACACCCCAGACACTCGATGCAACCCGCCTTTTCCGCGCTCTAAAAAGAAAATAAAAAGAAGACCAAATATGAATTAAAGTGCAAATAAATGAAATTAAATGCTTTTTATTCTAACACAGACACATAAACCCATCTTTTATTCTTTTGAATAATTTTGAAAGAAATAAAAAACAAAAAATATGTATCAACATATCCAACACCCTGTACGTACACCCCGCGAACAGACCCCAGCTTCCCTCCCTCTCCTCTAAAGGCTCTTTTCTTTTCTTTTCAAAAATCCCGCCAGCCCCAAAAGGCCAGCACGAGGCCCTTTAGGGGCCCCCAGGGGGCCCCTCCAAGGGCCCCCAGGGGGCCCCCAAGGGGGCCCCTTGGGGGCCCCTAAGGGGCCCCCAAAGAGGCCACCAGATGCACTCAAGAAGTCCCCTGGGGGCCCCCAGGGGGCCCCCAAGGAGGCCCGCAAAGGGTACCCAAAGAACTTTCAGAGGCGACTCTAGGGGCCCCCAAGGGGCCCCCCAGGGGGCCCCCAAGGGGCCTCCAAAGGGTACAAAAAATGTTCCTGCGGGTTTTTGAGAGGCCTTTAAAAAAGAGCCAGATGGCAAAAGTTCGAAGCTGCTAAAGAAGCGGCTCTGGTTCCTTTTCTAGAACCCTCCAACCCCTAAACCCTAAACCCTAAACCCTAAACCCTAAATCCTAAATCCTCAGTAACAGCGGCTTCTTTAAGGCTAGGGGTTAGAATAGAAACTGAAACGACACCCCTGAGGAGCCCCAAATCCTAGACCTCGCTCAGCAGTTTCACAAGAAATTAGGGTTTAGGGTTTAGGGTTTGGGGTTCAGGGTTTAGGAGGGCCTCAAAATTGAAAAGGAGAAAAGGAAAAAATGTAAAAAGCGTTTTGAGATTTCGGCGTTGGGGAGTTGGTTGGGGTGTACGTACAGCGCGTGGGGTTCAGATCTTGGGTTTTTTGAATTTTTGGATTTTTTGAATTTCTGGAAAATCACTTTTTTGTCTTTTAAAACAATTTTCTTCTTTCAAAAAAGAATTGCAAATTGAAAAGGCTGAAAGGATATTTCGGACTTGTGCTTTCGAAAGCACTTCTTTTCTTTCCTCCGAAATCCCCACAGCCACTTGCATCCTAAACAAACAAAGTTCATTCTTTTCAATTTAATTCAATTCAATTTCATTTCATTTAGTTATATC